CACGCTCGGCGCGTATTCGAGAGGTCCGTGGTTAGAGTCCCGGTGAGAGCATTGCTCATTTTTCACTTCTCCAGCATCGAAATAACCTAATGTCTCTACAGTGGCGCCCGAACTTAAAAAAAGTGGTGGATGATGAAATACCTTATATACTCCCCCTTTTAAAGGGCAACTGGGGATTAGGCTACCCAATCACCAAATCCTGGATGATGATTCTCCTCCACCAGGATTTGGTGATTGGGTCCCCTAATCCCCAGTCGCCCTTTAAAATGGGAATATATAAGGTATTTCTCCCGCCTTCTTAGCATGCCTTCGTAGTGTAGTAGTGGTCAGCACGCTCGGCGAGTATTCGAGAGGTCCGTGGTTCGAGTCCCAGCGAGGGCATTGCTCATTTTTCACTTCTGCAACATCGAAATAACCTAATGTCTCTATAAGCAAACAAACGTTTTCCTCCAAAGTTGGCAACGGGTTTGCTAATTTTCGGTAGACATACGGTTGAAAGTACCAGCAAGCTTAGGAAGTGATATTAGACCATTGAAGCTCGAACACGCACAGGGTATAAGGTTAAAGTAACATGAGTCATCTTAATGTTAAAAAAAAATAATGAAATTAAGTCATCCGAGGTTTATAGCCTTCTAATTGCACCAAAGACTCTTAACAGATGAAATTCTAGGAAACATAGCAGTTTTTGCCGCCTGGGTCTTTGCACTTGCCCAGAATTTTTGTTACAATATAAAGAAAAAATTGGTTTATTTGTTTGTGACAAAACAATCGAAGGCCATCTGCCTAAGGGGAGGGATGTCTTCGGGAAAAACTTTCTTAGGGAAATTGGCTCGTACATGTTACACACGGGGAAAAACATTAAAATTCCCGAATAAAAGAAATTTTTAATTTTATTATTAATTGATCTAATGTCGATCACAAACCATAAAGACAAACTGTTTTCATAACTTCAGAAAGAAAAAGTTACTCACTTGTTTATTGATTATTCCGAATGAGAAGAAAGCGTAAAGAATTTGTTGACTCAAGTAATTTATCCGTTTATGGTATTAACCATATAAAACTATATTAAAAAATGGCTGGAAATCTCTCTATTTCTCTCTCTCTCTCTCTCTCTCTTTTTTTTTTTTTTTTTTTTTTTTTTTCAAGATTTAACATTTTTTATCAGCAAAGCGTCCAAATTTGTTTTCAACCCACAAATTGTGTTTAATATTGCATTCATTGCGCTAATCATATTCTTCTACTTTTATTCTGATATCACTTATCGAAGTAAGGAATTAATATGTAATTAAATGCGTTTTGTTGGAGATATTGAAGTAAAAATAATTAGCGTGAGTTGCTTCCAGAACTAATTTTAAAGGCTTGAACAAAACCACTTTCTTCAGAAGTGGAGATGGCGAAGGAGAAACCTACGAGATAACGATAGACCAGAAATTTGGAAAAGATCTCGGGTAATGAAAAAAAAAAAAAAAAATCCGTTTGCCATTTATTGATAAAAAGAAAATACAGTTGTGAAATAATTTTCTTAAGAGCTGAAGGTAAAGATGGATTACAACTGGAAACATTAACTAACACAAACATTAACTTTTTGAAATTACTTCTTCTATTTTGAAATTTAATCTTTTCATAACGGGCAAAATATTGACTTGATAAGCTCCGTAACTAAAACTATCTAGACATTCAATAAACTCTGTAAACGTCGATATTTTTATATTTATTTTTAACATGTTTTAAGCATCTAAAACATGACATATTCTTCTATACAGTACATTTAATTTTAAACACATGATTAATAATGTGCAACAGTAAGAAATAAGGATTAAAATATATTTACTATTTTTATTGTAGTTTAAAAAAAGGGAAATAATCGTTATAAAATCTGCTTTCGATACACTTTCACCGAAATACGTACATTATTATGCATTATTACACATTTATACATATACACATTTGTATGTATTTCGGTGAACTTTATATGACTATTTTTATGACTATTTTTGCACACGTGTATAATCATTGACGGACATAACGTGAACGTAGAAAAAAGAAATGTCTAACTGTATATTAGTAAGTGGTAAAATTCTATATTTGAGTTTACTTAATTAAAATTCAAAATCATATCAAAAATGTTTTTGAGAAGAGGCTTAATAAATATTTTTCAAGTTCAAAATGCGTACTTTTCTTGAAATTTTATCAAACTATATGAATTTTTAAAAGAAAAGTGTAATCAAATGCAAATTCAAATTTTACATTTTCTTTTTATTTTACCAGTCACTTGCGATGCCAACCGTTAAAATAGTTATTATGAAGAAGGAGATATACAGTACTGAATTCAATGAATCCTAGCTAGTAAATTTTACGAGCTAATTACTAATACTAACAGAGATGAAGAACTGCGTTTACTGCTTTTGAATCGCTTAGTTTGTTAATCTGTAAGAGGCAGATTAAACTTGTAAAAAAAAAAGTTTAATAGCTTAAACTTTGCTGAAGAGCAACCCTGGCACATAATAAGATAAAAGTATTTGATATTAGGCAATGGCAATTTCTTGCTAGCAAATTCTGAAGCTGTTGATCAAAATTTTATTAAATTCGCAAAAAGCATAAAACAAACAAAAAAAACAAATAAATATATTGCGGACACTGCATGACTTCCTTGTACGGTCTACTAAATTATACACATATTTTGCTGTGCTTCATTTCTCGAATTTCACTAGAAATATATTCTTCATTCAATCAATTCAGTTCTCCCTTCGCGGCAAGGCACATAAAATCTCAAAACATCTTCATTAAAAATTGTAAAATACAGAAAAACGCAAACACCAAATACAGTTAAAAAAAGTTTTTGCAATTAAAATTAGAATTTCTACGAAAAAAAAAGTAATTCAGCCAACGTGCAAGAAGATAACAGTTTTGGTGCACAAAACTGAAAATTAAATTTTCCTACGACTAGGTAAAAAGGCTTTGAAGTTGGCGCACTAACTGACTTAATTCGCTGTATTAATAAGAGTTTTAAATGTAAACTAATAGCCGCCATTTGAAGTCTAGCTCAACTTACACTAATAAATTGTTGATAATTCTACAACTATTGCATGCATATTAATATATAAAAACCTCGACCGGAACAACATAATTCAGTTAATTTTAAAGCAAAAATTCACAATTTAACAACATATAAGAATAAAAAACAGAGCTTAAGCAGCCGGGTGTATATATTATATATATGTATGTATATATATATATATATATATACATATATACGAGCATTTTGTACGGATGCAGCGTCTTTTTCATATTTTTGTTTGGGAGGGGAGATTAAAATATGTACTGTTACTTCACATTCGCAATCACCTGTCATAACACCATCAACTATCATAACTTACCTAAATCGCCTGTCATACCACACCTACTGAAGATCTGTCAGAGTTTGACATCCTATTCAACCATCTATTGAAATCATCGGCATATACTTGCTGCAGCATATATAAAAGATGTTGTGTGACAGACAGTGTATATAAAAAACTTGTCACTCTTTGTGATGTCAGTGAAACTAATCTAAGATATTTAAGGCCTATATATAGAGATATAATTACTAATTCCTTCGACATACATAATTATTGTATACCATTTTCGCAAGCTAGTTTTATCCTTTTTTAATTCTCTTCTATTTATTGAAAGAATATAAATTATAAGTAACAGACACTGCTTTTTCATCTATTATAGTAAGAAACTGAAATATTGTAAATGTTTATTTCATTGACAGACTAGCATGAAATGTACATGTACGCTTAAAATTCGAATTTTGATTGTGATTTAAATAATCGGGCACACCTGTACTGATTATTTTAGTGCTATAATCAGAAGCTTTAAACTATTACATTTTTTTTAATAGAATGAAATGCAGACACTAAAAAAATAAAAAAAATAGGTAAAATATTTTCCACAGGAAACTCAGGTTTGTTCTTAGAAGGTTTAACTACGGTTTATTCAGAATTAAGAGGAACGCCAATTGCTCAAATTTTCATGATGTAAAAATGCGTTAGTTGGTTAGAAAACCTGAACCGGCTACTAAGCATGCTATTTCGGCTTCTGAATTGAGAGGAAGAACTTGATATATATAGTAGAATGCTTGATGAAATCATTTAAAAGGAAATTTAATAAGAATTCCTATGACATTTTGAACATTCATTGGAAGTACGTAAACTTTTTAATGATTTTAATTCCATCCCTTATATTGCATCTATTCTGAAGTAACTATTTCCCGCCTCCCCTTCTAATTTTCTTTGTTGGCAGCTTTTCCACATTAAGATGGTCATAATGGTCTACAGGGATTGAGTATGTTAACGGTTAATGTTTAACAATGCAAATTAATTAGATTTTCTTTTGTTTGTTATTTATTCGATTTAAATGCTTCATAGTGTTTGCCCAATGTATTCATGTCTTAAGTAAACAACAAAGGGGTAATTTCTAATCATTTTTATTTTTGAAAATGAAATCGAAGTCTAAACTTTTCATATTTCATAGTCTTCGTTAACTTTTTTTCCTTTTCTTCCTTTTATCCTTTAGTTATGCGTATGTTTTTTCATTTAAATTTATTTTTCTTCTTTTTTCCTCTCAATTTACACTAGCTTTCTTATAATTTTACTTACTGACACTTATCAACAGCATTTTAAATTTTTATTTTCCTTATCAAGTTTAAAAGTATTTTTCCTTTTGTTGAGCTCTCTATATATATGTTTCATACTTATTTAATCATTATTTTCAAGTTACAGGAAACTATAAAAAAAGGAGAAAACGCCAATTATTTAAATTCATATGAATATAATAAGTATTGCTTTCTCTACAGTTTGTTACCTAAAAGATGAAATATCCGAAATTCGAGCACAGTTGAAGTAGTATTTATAATTTCCTCGACTTTTATCATGTTAATTAGGATACTGATAGCGCGTTTAGTAATGTCCATTTAGTCTCGGTGGGGGGGGGAAAGAAAAAAATAACTCTTTTACCTTTTTTCGACCTAGTTGAAATGTCCCATATTCCACGATAATGAAACTGGCAAGCGTCATCCTTACACGTGTCTGATGACGGACAAAGTTCGTGGAAAAGCCACTTTTGCATCTGCGGACTGCAAGCATAAGTACAATATGTAAGACAATCGATACAGCAGGCAGTCATTTCTGAAAGGGAAAAGGATTCGTCGTCTCGCACTGGATGAAAAAGGTGACTCACCCTTGTTCCATTGATCGCCCCCTCTAAGAAATCCGTGGATCCGAAAAGGAGAATCAAGCCGGAAGCCAAGGTACAGGCGCCTGCAACGTCTGATGATCGGCTACTTTGATTCTTTACATCTCATTAGAAAATATCGGAAAAAAATCAAAATCTTTAATTTTTGGCGTTTTCATTTTCATTGTTATTTTTAAAATTCATTCATTCCATCTGTAATCCGCTCTATTTAACCATTTGGTTATGTTTTAAAATCCTGAAGATAAGCGTTTGCACGTTTATCTGCATATTTGTGAGTACAAAGTATGGCATGTAGCTTTTGTAGATATTAACCAGATATATAAAAAAAATGAACCCCCACAACAATAACAACAAGAAAAAGACTGTTGAAAAGGAATAAAACAAAATCATTATTTATTCCTCATGGAAAGCAAGTTAAAAAAAAATTGAAAGCTTTCAGATTATATATTAATTAAATATTCAATTAGTAATATAGCAAAATAATTTTAAAATGATCATATGTTTAGAATTTCCGATACAGAGTCTCGCGCAATGGAGATAAAAATGTCTTTTCTATACAACGTTGCCACTGCTCGTTTTGAAATCCTTGAGTTAATCAAAAATTCGTTAAAGTTTTACAAAATATGAAAATGATAATAAACAAATTCCACATGCCCATATTCGCATGGAAACATTCAGTATTCAAAATTTGATAGCTCTAGGTATCTTCGTGTTTTCACGGTGCGAGAAACATCCATAACATTCCTGCAGATTCTTCATTATTTAATTTCTTTAAATATAATACAGGATGATAACATTTGGCGGCAACAATCTGAAAAGTGATGCAGCCGTTTATACCGATTCGATGCAAAATGCCGTTTCGGGACTAATAGCCCTTCTACCCTAAACCTCCTTTAGGCTTTAAAAAAAATCTATCTATCTAAATACATAGATAAATATCCGTCTATATGCATATGTATATATAGGAAATAATTTGGAATGTTCAAGTCATGAAGATGATAGTTGCTAACGACGACAGCCGATGTATAAAAAATACTTGCACTAAAGGTGTTTGCTTATCATGTCCGATTTCTCGTTAACAAACATTTTTTTAAGTCAACACAGGTAAACTGGTCCAATAAGCGCCTGTTCCTGAAGAATTTCTGTATATTTTTAAAGACGTTGTGTTAAGGAAACCAAAGACAGGAATCTAGTTAGCAAGACAAGCAGAATGAGAATGCATCCAAGATAAAATACTCTTTTAGAGTGATTTGGTTTTGGTTCATATTTAATCACTATTCATTAACAATAGTGTTCTATAATTATTATTGGCTGCAGTGGGCGTAGCAAGCATAACTGGCGCTCGGGGCAAAATACCTTATTCAGCGCCCCCCCCCACAAAAAAACTTTCCAGTAATATAATATGTAGAATATATTCGTAATAAGAAAATAATGCAAATAATAATAAATGCTGAATCTGCCTATAAACATACTCAAAAATATATTAAGAATAGTCACTACCTAACTACAATAGCCTTGGATTCGGAAATGCATCTGTGTCAGCGAAAAAATCAGACATACGATGATCTAGAATTAGTTAAATTATTATTTTGCATATTTACATAAGTGTTTTTAAAAAGCACAATTTTTAAATATTTAAAAGTTTAATATACATTATAGATAAATAGATATGTGGTAACTTGCCTACTACAACTCAACTCTGCCAGTCTGGTAACCCATAGCAACCAAAAACAAAATAATATTTATTCTATTCAATTGTTATAATTATTTAACGATCTGTCTCAAAAAATTGTACAACCATAATTGGTGAACCGTATTTATTACGAATAGCAACCTTCAATGTTGCACGAATATGGAGTTTATATGTCAAAATTCTGAGCACCAGTAAGTTATTCAGTGTGATGAGATGCAAGTAAGACATTTCACCTGTGATTTCAAGCGTTGTGACGCATTCCGGTGAGTCAACATATTTCTGTCATAATTTCGGTGGATAGTCTGAGATTCAGTCTGGTCGCCAATTTCTCCTGATTTCAAGTACCAAGAAACTGTTTCACTATATACATATTGATTATTTTTCTATACATATTATTACTGTGCATATTTGATTAATCTAAATTGGTTGACAACGATGCTGCTTCACAATTGGAGCGAGTGGCAGTTAAGCCACCACCTTTTTGTCGCCGAGACCCATCGTTAGGGTTCATTCAATTGGATGCGCAGTTTAAATTGAGTCACATTACTGCCGACGAAACTCAATGTTATACAGCGTTCGCCGCGTTAGAATCAGAGGTACTGCAATCAGCTAGTGAAATAATTTTGAATCCACTGGCGACGGACAAATACAAATCTTTTTAAAAAAAATTAATTTCTGTTTATGAAGAATCAATCCGAGACAGTTAAAATCAAGCAGCTGTTGCACGATTTACAGTTGGGTGATATAAGGCCTTCTCAATTGCTGTCTAAAATGTCAGACTTAGCCGCCGGTAACCTAACGGATAACATTCTTAAAACATTATGGATAAATAGAACTCCCATTCTAAGCATGCAAAGCCATTTTAGTAGCGGCCAGTAGCGAGCCACTTAAAAATCTTCCCGAAATCGCTGATAAAATTCACGAGCTGGCCATTTCAGGGCAAATAGACGCAGTGCAGGCTCCTGATGCAGGTAGTGTGGTGTTACAGGCTCAAATTGATGATTTGTCCAAACAGGTAACTCAACTAGTAGCCATCCAAGCTGAACCTTTACCGCGCAACTGCTACAAATCACGTGGTCGAAATACACGTCATGGCCCACTGAGAAAACGTTATGAAAGCCCTCCTCCGGGTATTTGTTTTTTATCACCACATATTTGGAAACAAGGCAAACAAATGCCACCCACCGTGTGTCGTTATAACGACCAGGGAAACGAGAAGGGCCGTTGCTCGAAGTCGTGAATCACAACGGCCGGAATTTTGCACGCCTTTTCGTCACCGAAAAGAATTCGGGCTTAAGGTTTCTTGTAGACACCGTGGCTGATGTTTCTGTCCTTCCACCACATTTTCACGAACAAAAGCGCCTTACTAAGTTACAAACTTTATGTAGCAAATGGAACTCCTATTCAAACTTTTAATGAACGCCTAATATCTGTTGATTTAGGATTGCCCCGCAACTTCCAATGGCCATTCATTATTGCTACTGTCCTATTATTGGCGCTGACTTTTTACAAAAATTTTCTTTGCTTGTCGATCTTAAGAATCGTCGTTTGATAGATTCCACAAGCAACTTTACTTATCCGGGAGTAATTCGCAATAGTCAAGATTTGAGCATTAAACTGATTTCGGGTAACTTCTCAGAGAACATCAACTTCTCAGAGAATTTCCTACAATCACGCGCTCAGTTATGGGTATTTCCGAACCCAAGCACGATGTATTACATTATATTGAAATTAACGGACCTCCAATTGCCGCTAAACCAAGACGCTTACCTCCGGACAAGCTTAAAGCTGCCAAAAAGGAATTTCAATACATGATGGAAGAGGGAATTTGCCGTCCTTCAAAAAGTTCATGGGCCAGTCCGCTCCATCTAGTTCGGAAAAGAAATGGTAAGTGGTGATTATTGCCGGTTAAATGCAGCTACAATTTCTGATCGTTACCCAGTCCCGCATATTCAAGACTGTATGCAAGTTCTAGAGGGAAAAGCTATTTTTACAACCCTTGATCTTGAGCGGACGTATCACCAAGTGCCCGTTAACCAGCTGATATTCCCAGCTGTTAACCAGCTGAAACTGGGTTATTACGCCTTTGTACTATTTGAGTTTCCGGTCATGACTTTCGGTTTATGCAATGCTGCTCAAACGTTACAATGCTTCATGAATCAGGTGTTAATCGGCCTCGACTTTCGTGTACCTTATTTTGATGAAGTCTTAATCGCCTCCTCTTCAGAGCAAGAACACCTATCACATTTGAGAACAGTTTTTGAACGTTTTCAAGATACAGTGTCAGTCTTAATCCTTCAAATGCGTTTTTGGCCAACCAAGAGTATCCTTCTTGGTCATGAAATTTCCGCTGATGGCGTTCGACCGCTTCCAGAGTTACGCTATCCGCATATGCCCGAAACATCTACAGTGAAGGATTTAAAGATTCTTGCTATGCTCAATTTTTATCGACGTTTCTTACTTCATGCACCAACCATACAAGCACCTCTAAATTCTTTTTTGGTTGGAAGTAAGAAAAAAGATAAACATGTTATAACCTGGATCACAGAATCTCGCGAAGCTTTCCAAAAATGCAAAAATTATTTAATTTCGGCAGTATCCTTCCGCACCGTAACCATTATCACTCTACGGTTTATAAGGTATTTCTTCAGCTTTCCTAGCGTGCCTTCGTGGTGTAGTGGTTCTGCACGCTATGCCGGTACTCCAGAGGTCCGCGGTTCGATTCCCGGCGAAGACGGTTGCTAATTTTTCAATCTCTCTTGCTTCCAAATATCCTAAAGTCTCTACAGTGGCGCCCGAACTAAAATGGGTGTTGGATGAGGATTCTCCACACCCAGGATTTGGCGATTGGGTCCTCTAAAAACCCCAGTCGCCCTTTAAAAAGGGAAGTGTAATAAGATTTTCTCCCCGCTTTCGTAGCCTGCCTTCGTGGTGTAGTGGTTCTGCACGCTGGGCCGGTACTCCAGAGGTCCGTGGTTCGATTCCCGGCGAAGGCGTTGCATATTTTTCATCTCTTCTGCTTCCATAAAATAACCTAATGTCTCTACATGTTGACGTATCAACAAGAGGTATAGGAGCAGTTTTACAACAAGAGATCCAAGAATTATAGAGACTCATATTTTTCTAAGAAACTCTTCACCAGCA